GAATAACGTATCAATTACGAATAATTACTTTGATCATTAAATACGATGAACGACTGAAGTTGAATTCTTGATTTTAAGGCGTGCTAAAAATAACTACACAAAAATAAACACGGTAAGCCTTTACATAAGCATTTCATGTGAAGAAAACTAAATTAAATTGTTATATTAAGTTAAGTTTATATTATTATTTAAGGTCTAAACTTTGAAGAATTTAACATAGTTTTCACTTTCTCTCTCGTCCTGGATTACAAAAGTTAAAACAACCAAAGGGCTGATAGAAAACTGGGAAGAAAACACTGAATTGTATGATGAAATGAAATGATTGTTAGAAATTATAAATAATACATAATACAGACAAATAATTGTATAAAAAGTTCCTAGAAATATCAGGAAAACTTGTCTCTGATCACATCTACTTTGAGTTAATTGTACAGTTTGTACTGATATTTTATTATTGAAAATAATATGAAATATCCATAAAAGTCACATAGTCAGGGGCCATCAGTTTACACAATGATAGAAAATGGGTCCCTTAAAGAAAAAGGTTGGGAGCCAATGATTTTTTAAACATTTATATTTTGTAGGCAATCTAAGCAGCTTAGAACTTGCTCAGGTGGCGTTAACAGATTTTATACATCCAAAGATTTCTATAAAATTCACACCAGTCCTTTAATTGAGACCTGCCTTCATAGTCGATAAGTTTTATCCTCTGGAGACATTGATTAAACAAAATTTAATGGCAACCCATCTGGTAGTTGTTGAGATATGTGTAGACCAAAAACATGATGGACCAACCATGCTGCTAGCGTAGCTCAAACCAATGAGCCTCATATACGAGGTTTGTAACGCATTGTGCTCCTGTTTTCTAAAGGTTTGACAGGTGGTTTGGGACAATCACAGAGTGTCCCAATCAAGTGTCTTCAGACCGCCGTCTGTCCTGCATCGTCTGTTCTGAATATCCCTGGTCAGAAAAACTGTACTGGTGTGAGACTCCAGCAGGGGAGAGAAGCAACAGCCTCAACATTAACACCGGTAGTGTTTACCACACCCTATTTATACTGTTATTTCTATTATACTGTAACACGCTAGCCACCCAGGAACATGCCAGTTCACAATGGCTCCCTGAGCTTCCATTTTATCCTCAGGATAAAACAGATTAATAATAATAACAATCCATTCAGGATTGGCTGCCACATTAAAAAATCGCCGCTGTGCACACACTGCATCAGTTCCTCACCACTCAAACAGGTGTATAAAAATGTAATAGATTTAAAAGCTATAATAACAATAGTAGTTATAATAGTTAAATAAAAGCTTGACTAAAAGACAACAAAAAAAAACAGAACAAAGACAAACACAATGTACAAGAGGGATAATAAAATGTTGTTTATTAAAAATTTAACATAACATGAATAAAATAACGTAAATAACGTCTATAATCATTCTTTTTTTCTTTTTATTCTTTCAAGTTTAGTTTATGTTGCTCAAATGTGCAAGCAGCAGGGGAGAGAACCCAAATGCAGACAACTGAGGCAAAGCTGAAGCAGTTCAGTGATTTAATGCTCAAAATCAAGCAAGGGTCGAAAGATTTTGCTGCCACCTTGTGGCTAAAAGCTTAAAACTGCTATCTCCCAGAGTTCCTCAGCACTCACACAGGTGTAGGTGCTTAAGCCAACCAATAGAGATAGGACTGAAGAACTGGAGGGCAGAAAGAGCTGGGAAAACAGCCTCGGAGGACAAGTACCCTCCGGAAAGTACATTAATTTAACTGTTTAAAGGAGAGGAAACCTTTTTTTTTGTTCTGTTTAGTTTATAGAACTGATGTTTTAATTTGAAACAGGGATTTTGGTTGAAAAGATCAACTTGCCTTAATCTTTTTTTTAACCTTTTATTTTGCCTTTATTCAGTTTTATCATTGCCCCACCCTAGTCTGCCCTGGTGACCTCTAACAATATCACAAAGGGGGAAAAGACAGTCAGTCAGCAGGCTCAAAATGCAAACTGTGCTCCTCTGTGCAGCTCCTGGCAAGGTGGTCCTGGAGAGGCCGTCGCTTCCTGTGACGGAGGGGGAGGACGTGATACTCCGCTGTTTACATAGAAAACTAACCCAAGTAAAATTCTCCTTCAACTTTAATGCCACCTTCTACAAGAATGACCAGCTTATCGGGTAAAATACTCCATAAAAACATGCAAAAACTAAAGCCAACATTAGAACTGGGCGGATGGATGAACTGCTGTTGGTCAAGAAATAGTTCCAACATAATCCTAAATGCTCCTGTATAATGTGAGCATTGATTGTTTTGCTCTGTGTGTTTGTGTCCTAGGAATACAACTGACGACAGTTTGTTTACGCTGAAAGCAGTGACCAAAGCTGATGAGGGAGTCTACAAATGTCGACACCCGGTGGACGGAGACTCTCCTGACAGCTGGATCACTGTTAAAGGTACAGACCCACACACAGAAGCATCAATGTACAAATACATGCATTTATATTCTTATACACTCTCGTTATGTCTCTGTCAGCTCGGCCCGTTGAAGGCCAGAAGAAGAAGAGCGACATCACAACGTCTTAGATGCTCCACCTCCCGGCCCAATCACCTGCTCTCTGATTGGTCAATTAAACCCAACCTGCTCTCATAACAGCGGACTTCTACTTCTTCTACCAGGGTTTCTACTATTTGAAGTTTGAAGAGTTTCTCATTCATCTTCTGACCTATTAGCCTATTAATGTACAATTAACAACAACAGCAGCAAATGTAATCTGAGGGGCTAAAATGAAGCAACATAGATTATTTCCAGGATATTTTGTAATTTTAATAAATTTCCAGGTGTTTTCATGACTGGAAAGCTAACCTGAATTTCCAGGTTTTTCAGATATTCCAGGATGAGGGGGAACCCTGACCCAAACGTGTGCATGTTTCTGTTTATGAATCTGTAACACATTACACTCATCTAGCAATAAAAAGAAGCAATAAAACTGAAAAACAATATTCTGTTAAAGGTAATTCCTGTTTTAAAAATGTTACTTAATCAAAGTTTATTTGTATGGCACCTATCTTACAGGTTAGTGCAGTTCACAGTTCTTCGCAGTGCTTCACAAGCTGCTAATAAGAAAATTATAAGAATGTAATAAAATAGATTTAATAATAGTAGTAATAGAGTTAAATAAAAACTAGACTAAGAAACTAGATAAAGTAGATCAAAAAGACAAACAAAACACTGACACATATTTTTTTAAGAGGGATATAAAATATATAATGGTAATACAATTTACAAAATAAATGTGATAAAAAGAGTGAATGAAGTTATATTAATTCTTAAGTAAAAGCCAGGCAGAAGAGACAGATTTTAACACAGCAAAGGATACATAGGACCCAAATGCAGACAACTGAGGCCGAGCTGAACCAGTTAATGCACAAAATATCATCTACATGTGTGCATGTTTCTGTTTATGAATCTGTAAAAATTATAAAAATGTAAGTAAATATCTATCTAATATAGGAAACATCAGGGACATGAAAACACTGAATATGTCAAAAAGAAGCTTATTAGGTCTGTATGATTGTCAAAAATGATTTAAAAATACATTACACAGACAGAGAACTGTATAAAAATCTGCTCAAAATCGTTTTACACAAACTTCTTGCAGTTATCATGATATAAAAATACATTAATGATGAAGCTCAAGTACCCCAGTAAGCTGTGGCAATGTTACAGCATCAATAATACCAGGAACCCTTAAACTGAACCAGTAATGTTCAGTGTCCTGAGTTGGCCTGTAGAGGGAACTGTAGGATTACAGTAAACATTACAGCGCTTCCACCTTCATGATAGTGTTTATGATTTACCCCATTAATGACATTAAAGAATATATATAAAGATATTTTCATGTTATTACGACATACAAACCTACTTTTCACGTAATAACTTTATCATAATAACAACTTTTCAATAATAACGATAGTTATTACATTTTAACGTGAAAAGTTGTTATAACGATAAAGTTATTATGTTTAAACTCGAAAAGTTGTTATAACGATACAGTTGTTATGTTTTAAAGTGAAAAGTTGTTAGAACGATAAAGTTATTATGTTTTAAAAAGGTTTTATGTTAAAACAAAATTATCATGTTGTCACATTGTAACATTTCACGTTATAACAATAATAATAATTCTAATAATAATAATAATAATAGTATTTTGTTGCAAAACGTTTCTTGTTATATCATAAGTTTGCTATATCATAGGTTTGTTATATCATAAGTTTGTATATCATAATAGGGTGAAAATATCTCGTTGTAACAAGAAACGTTTCACATTATAACATGATACTGATGTGTTTTTCTTTTTATGGTGTGGCAGCAACAGGCTGCCATACATTAGTGATAGATTTACTTTAACCTTACTTAAAGTTCATTTTGTGGTTCGAAAAGGATCCAGTTATAACCTAACAACTTAAAAAAACTCTCAAACCTACTAATACAGTTTTGTTTTCACTTGAAAAATAAAAGAGGCAAAC